AAAATTGTTAATTAATTAATTAAACATTTTCTATTGTAACATATTATTTATTGCCAATTAGAAAGTTTCCAAATTATGGCACTTTGGGTAGACAAAAATTGTACAACTTGCAATGCGTAAGCCGCTCATTTTATAATGAATGAGATATGGGGCTGAAAATGCGACGAATCCGAAAAGCTCCGCGTCAATTGTTGGATTTTTCTCGCGTAAGAAATTATACGCGAATTTTGCTTTTTTCCCTCTCTTTTTAAAAAGGATGAAACCAAGGGACGAAGTGAAACTCTTCTTGCCCGGTAGCGCGGAAAGTAAACGCTCGTGTGGAGATTATACGATCGTCTGTCCACTCGCTCGTACGTGCGTTTGTACGCGCTTATTCTCGCAAACAATACACCCCTCTTCTCGCAGCTATTCTTGCCCATCCATGCTTAAATCGCGCGAATCGAAGCGAGGAAAGCGCCGTGCTTCCGGTAGAACGGAACGCGTGTCCCGCGGCGCTGCGGGAATTAATTCCGCGTTAGGAATTGTGCTCCCGCGCGCGAGCGCGGATCCAACCTCCCCCGCTGTAACCCGCCCAAGAAACATTAAATTCCGTTTTAAACTCTTTTCCGCCCGGTATTCCCGCCGGTGTCGTACAACGCCGAGAAATACCGGTGCTCTCAATTTTGTATAACGGCTTGCGCCAACCGACCGCTGAAAATGAAGTAATCATTCCCCGAACAACGAATATCTTTAATCCTCCTGCTACTCGAGGAGCGATACTCACATACTTTCGTTTGCTCTCGTAAATTGCAGTTGTTTATCGCTTGAGAAATATTTTATCTCGAGTGTCAAACTGTCATTTCGTTTCTGGATACGAAAATATCAGTTTTGTTTCGATTGAAGAAGGATTTATCATTAAGAATTAAACAGTTAACAAAATAATAAGTAATAATTGAGAAATTTAAATGAGAGTTTGTAAAATCGACTGTATATAATTTTATTTCTTTTTTCTTTTTCTATATTTGCGAGAAAAATTGCACTGAGAAAAAAATAATGTGAAGTCAACATCATTTAATTAACATTTTTATTTATTCAATAACATTATTAATCAAATCAATACGTTATAATATTGATTATTGAATGAATAAAATAAATTCCAATTACACTGATGTTGTTGATTCAACATTATTTTTCCTCAATGTGCAAGAAATCAATGAAGTATTAAATTAGAGCATAAAATTTTGGATTTCTTTAATCATGAAAAAACTTACATATATTATAATAATTTATTAAAATACATTATTATACATATTAAATACATTATTTTAAAATTCCCCAAATTCTTTTAAGATTATGATATATTATAAATACCCCTTTAATATATAAATAATAATTTCTCTTTCTCTCTCAATAAATATCTAATATTTTTAATAATATGTGATATTCTATTTTATTCCCATTGCATAACGAAAAGTGAAATTTTTCCAAATTTTTCCAAATTTTTTATATTTGGAAAATATATCGGCCACTTGTTCGTATCATTTCAATCGCATCAACAATAGACTATGGCTTGTCATTTTTCGATTCACATAACGTGAGCCTTGATTAATCCCTAACGCGATTTTCATTTCGAGATCCATTTTTCATTTTCCTCCCCTATGGTTTAAATTCGCGAGGAAATATGAATACGACGATAAAAAATACTAGAATACAGCATACAACGATTCTACAATGTAATAAAATATAATTCAGATAAAACGGCGTTTATATAGATGTGAAATCTTTCGGAAGTCGTATTTCCGGTAATAAATTTTATGTCATGATCGTAATATTTATTGAACGGAATCTTGAAATTTCAGTCACATTTTATTGTAACATTTTTGGGATACATTATAAACGCTTTTGTATACGACAGACATAATAATCTCTTTCTTAATTCTATACATAGACTTTCTTGGCCGCAATATCTCATTCGCTTCGACGAGTTCTCGCGAGGGACAGCTTGGGGAACGAACGAGTCTTTATTCGATCGTAATCTTTACGAGGTGTAGCAACAAGTTGGCAGTAAATTTTAGACAAATCCCAATTCATCGTTACTTTTTGAATCCGTTTAACGAATTTGTTTAACTTATTTCAGATTCTCTCAAAATTAGTCATTCAATTTTGTTAAAGATAGATTTTCCATCGCGAATCTTGTTGAAAAGTTATATAAACTTTGTAGGAATTAATATCTATGTATATTTTATAAATATTAATAAAGTTTATAATTATAATATTACATTTACGTCCATCATATATAATTATTTCATTTATAATAATTATTTCATTTATAATGTTTATTTTGGTTTACATTTAAATAGATCAGACTATTATTATAATTATATGTGTAAAGAAAAAAATACAAAGATTAAAAAGAAAATAGTGAATAATCTTCGAAGAAAAAAAAATGTTTAAATAAATAAATATTTAATTCATTCAGAAATCACATGTGATGTTATGCTAAAACACTCGGAATGTATTCATAAATACAACTCGCCGGCGGATAATCCTGAAATTATATGCTAGCGTGTTGCATATTGCACACGACGAAAGAACGTGTCCATACTCTTAGGAAGACTGGAACACCGAAAGGGTTAATGGAGGGCAGTGTACCTCGGGCAGGGTGTTGAAGGCGGGAATAATGCGATGGAAACGAGCCCGCGCCCGATAGCGAACGCAGCCGCAACACGTGAAAATGGCGTTGCTCGACCTTATCAGGCGGCCCATGATTTATAGGTCTGCCCCGAAAGAGAGTTAATGGAGGCAAAATAGCGCGCGGTGCACACCATGAATCCTTCCGTATCGCGCTGTCGATGGTTCGTTCGACGGCCAGTTCTCTCTCTCTCTCTCTCTCTCTCTTTCTCCTTCTCTCTCTCTCTCTCTCTCTCTCTTTCTCTCTCTGCCTCTCTATCGGATGCCCGGATCTCCCGGTTCCGAAATGTTCCCATGGGAATAGCTGGACCGTTCCCAGCCACAAGCTATATCTACCTACCTACCTACTACCTGCCTACCTACCTACCTACCTACCTACCTACATACCTATCTACCTACCTACCTATTTACCTGTCTACCTACCTGCGCCAATTAACACGCCAATGGTTCCTCTAATCATTATGGATATATTACAGTTTCTTTGATCCTCTAACTGCAAATGTTTATTAAGTATATATTTGGAAGTAAATGAGAAAATCAAATCACACATTTATTATTAAATAAAAAATTGTATTTTTTCTCTAAAATTTTTATTATTTAAACCAAGCAAAATATTCGTAATAAATCTTGTCATATAATATAACGGTTATCGCTGCAAAATGTTTTCTTTGTAAATATATGATAACTATTTAAATAGATATTTAAATAGATATGACCAAGTTGAAATATTAAGAAAATAAAAAAAAAAATATCTTTATATATTTTTCCGAAAGCTAGCGTGTGTATACTTTAGCATTAAAATTATCTATTGATGTCCTATTTTATTATCCTAAATTAAAAGAATTTCGTCCTCGAAATATCTAATAATTCCTGATTCACTATCAGAAAATTTAACCATTAAATTTCTAAGCGTGTTTTACGTCACCGCCGATAAATTCGCACGTGCGTTTATGTTGCTTGCACCGTTTGCTGTTTAAACTTCAGACGCACGTTTATTGCTTTAAGCCGTTTATTGCTTTTATTACTATGATTATTATTAGTGCAGAAGGGAGAAAAGCTATAAGGGACGTGAGGTATGGATTAAACGACTTTCTAAGAATCGAGTTGCCTCTTGCGAGTGTACACACAGCTTCAAAGTTTGTGGGTTTGATATCTAATGGAACAGTATTCGATAAAAGTTCATAGTTGGTATTTACTATATTCTTAATTTAAACGCTGTAATCGGCTTTGAATTCATCGATTTGATCTCATAAAATTTCTGGAAATTATATATATTATATAAGCTAGAATTTAAATATTTGTATTAAACATCAATAAATTCTAAAAATATATTTATATTATTTTTACGCGCACACAAACACACACATTAAATAATTACGTTATTATTAAAGTTATTTAAAATTTAATTTGAGATAGATTTCCATTTTTTTGTATTTTTATAAATCAGTAATTCTCCTTATGTCAGTTTATTTTTCTCATCTAATAAAGCACTTTGCCGTTTATGATTCATTAATCGTCCCTTCATTGCACGACAACCTTGTTTATTACTTTCATCTTACATGTTAATCTCACATATACGCGTGAGAAAAGTACGAGCTGGACTTGGATACGTACGATATTTTTATCAACGCCGCCTTTATTATATTTTTGTGCTCTATCTGTGCCACGTGAATGACGCGAGTAACGCGAGCGAGAGGTTTTTATGGCTAGTAACACACGGTAGAACTGGAAACTGTTGGTTGGGGTAACCCACGGCAAAATGCGGTAACGAAATAGAATCCGTGCATGGGATGGCATGTTATCGTATTTTGCGTTACCCCTCGGTCACGCTCAGATGGTTTGCACGGAAGCGGATCTTTTTAACGCAACGAGCTCCGAGGTAGAAATTTCCATCATTTGTATGTCGTTGCTCTCGCAGCGTTTGATTGATTTTCCACTGTCGAAAATAAATTTATCGAAAGTATATCAAGTATTCCCAAAGTTGACTCTAGCGACAATTCGTAAAAAAATAATTCGAAATAAGTTTCTTTTAAGAGACATTGCGAAACGGAGGTGTAATATAAAAAAAATAGCTGCTTAAAAATAAGCTGGAAGGAACTGTGGAAGAATATATTTAATTTGTCTCAGGAGATACATTTGAAGGAAATAATTAAAGCAAATGAAAAGAGAGACTGAACTTGGCAAGAGATAACTTATTTGCATATCCACTTGAGACGTTTTACGCGCGCACATTTTTTTCAAAAGGAGGTCTCTTAAATTTCATATGTGTTTAATCGCCACTAATTTCGAGAAATTTACTAACGTGTCTCTCTCTGTCCTCTTTGTTTCAGCTGTACCGTCATACGTACCTGGCCCATTACAGGATTGTGAATCTGGAAACACTGTAAGTAAACGAGCCGTGTCTCGGCGGCATTTTGCGACAATCATATCTCAAATTTATTCCGTGATCAAGTTCAGATTTGCATTTTAATCTCGGCCCCCGTGAGCCGAGCGAGGGGAGGAGGAGGAAGGAGGGGGAAGGAGAAGGAGAGGAGGGGAAAGTTGGAAAAGCTGGGGGCGTAGTACCGCGCGTGCAAATTACAAACTGTGCACGAATTTAATCCCGGCTCGTCTTACCGTCACCGCTTTACCTTACCCTTATCCTTACCCCTTATCCCTCCGCCCGTTCCACGTCTGAGAACTTTCCTTCGCGGATTTGATCATTAACTCAGCATTTAGGAGCGGTTATATCACGATTATCGCCATCCCCGACCGCCGCAATCCCTCGTTCCCCTTCCTCGCTCGTCTTCCCTCCTCCTCCCCTGGGGGAAAAAAAAGCTAAAACTACCTTTTAAGGCCTAAACTTATTCGCTCGATTGCGCTTTCCGCGGTTGCGACGTTTGCTGGTCTTGCAAAGGCAACATAGAACTTTCTCTTCCTTTTTAACGAGAAAGTCTCTACCCTCTTTGCTTTAATTTTTTGAATCATACTTTTTCTCAGATTCGACTTGATTAAGTTTGCCTGGAGGTGATATTTTGTATTGCAAAATATATTCTCTCGTTTGTGCTAGATTCTGGAGTTTATTAAATTTCCAGTTAATTTTGATAATATTGTCAATATTATTAATTTGAGTTTAATATTAATTAAGTTGTTAGAATCAATTTCAATAGCGATTCCATCAATTTCAAATAGCGATTCATCATGCCTTTGTTAAATTTATTTGTACATATATTTTGTCTATATTTCACTATTTGCATATTTGTTTACTTATCAGTATGATTGTTATGTATACATGTCATGTATACATATTAAATAGTATTGTTTCTCGTGACGTTTATTTATAGGAAGTTGTACATTAATAGGAATAGGATTTACAAGAAATAAATGCGCTCTCTAAATTCTATTCTATTCTAATTTTAGCATAATTGAAAATTTAAATTAATCGCAATAATTAAAGATTACTTTTTTTTCACCGAATATAGACGGGGATTAATATATTACTTTCAAGACAATCCCGCTTCCTCTTTCTCTTCATATATTACAAACTTCCTCCAGAATTTAAGTCATCCAAGGAAGTGGGTCACCTGTGAAACTCGCAAAATTTCAACGATCAATTTCTCACGCGATCGCGAAACCGCGAGTACTTTCTCAAGATTCGTCCTCGTTCGCACTTCCCCGAAGAGCAGCCCTCTCCGAAGGATCCTGAGGTTCATTCACGTGAAACCACATCCTAGACATCCTAGCTGTAAAGCCGAGGGCGCGGCAATTTCGCGAAATTCGCCTTTATGTGCGGATGCCCGCGGCTTCCACGCCAGGTGAATCTCTTGCCGGGCTTTACCATCGTGCTTGAGATCATCACTCTCAAATAGTCATGCAGATCAAATCACGCTCCGTTTCGAGCGCGTCTCGCAAACGCAAAGGCCGCTTGTCATCCTTACATACAATCTCCCATTTCGAGGTTTAACCGCGTGACTGTAACAAGGGTACGTATACATGTGTACATAACTTCGCTGTCGAGTTTGAGTTACATGGTTGGTTTTCGGAGAGAGAGTCAAATTTCTAGATAAAGAGCGCAAACGAAGTAGTCTTGACGGGCGGAGTATTTCGAGATGTACTTTGAACATAGAATTTCAGCTTTGAGATCATTTTAGGCAAGGAAATATAGGAGAGGTCCCCGGAGTCTCTGAATAATTAAAATCCTTAGAGAAGACGCGAAATAATTAAAAATTATATACGATATAAATACGATGTAAACATAACTTAAAATCATAATTAGCGATACGTGTTTTTTACTCATCTTACCTATATTAACTATTTTGTACATAATATACTAATTTTTGTAATCTTTATAAAAAATATATATAATATTATTTATAATTTTTATAAAAAATATATACTATTTATAATATATAATAATACTATTTATAAAAATATATATTGTATAATACTATTTATAATCCTTATAACTGTTTTGTACATAATATATTAATTTTGATAATCTTTATAAAAAATATATATAATACTATTTATAATCTTTATAAAATATATATATAATACTATCTATAATTCTTATAAAAAATATATATAATACTATTTATAATCCTTATAAAAAATATATATATATATATATATATAACACTATTTATAATCCTTATAAAAAATATATATACAAAGAGAGAAGTAATGTCTCGATGTCACGTAAAATGTTAAATCGTGCGTTTTATGACGAATTTTGCAGATAAATAAGATTTATTGTACGACTACTGCATTGCGACAACTCCATTTTCGACGATAGCTTCGCACGGGAATGAAAAGACAAACGCGATATTCTTATGAAGACGAGAAATATGCTCACTTCTGATACACGATATATCGCTCGCGATAGTCAACGTCATAATCTTACATTTCGTTGTTTTGTATGTTATGCTTTACGTTTTGACGTGAAAAAGCGATTTTCTCCATGAAACGAATGCCATGAAAATGAGAGACATTTTTCGAGATGCATATAACGCGCGCCAGAAATAAATCCCTTGCGCAAAATTTATGCTCATTTGCATATATTTGCTGTACATATCGGCTTTTATTCGATACGGGAATACGAACTCGTGCCAAAAAACATTATTTTGTACTTAGATAAAGCGTTTTCGCTACCGTTTTCGCGATTATAATATTGCATTTACGTCATATCATATCGCTATATGTGTATTTCGAATCCCATAGTTCCGTCGTACAAAGCACAATGAAAATTTACACACCGAACGATTATTTTTATCGCTAATAATAATAATATTTTTCGACGACATTAAATTAAATGCATATTTATACGAAAAATATATTAGAAGATGCGCGCGCGTGTTTTATTATTTTAGCATTGTATAGATGATTAATTATATATCTTTTAATATAACACAAAGAAAAAAATTATTTGACGAATATTTAACATTTTCATTCTCCAAAAATTTTTTATCTAGAATTACATCATAAGCTTCTCTGAAACCAATTAATTCTTCAATTTACGAAAATAATTGGATTTTATTTTAACTATACACGCTCCTTCCCTCTTTCTTCCCTCTTGATGACCACGGACGTTAATATATTTTCCTAAATGTCGAGAGCGCTTCCCGGAAATTATTTGTTCAATGTTACCGGGCTATCACGAAAGCGCAATAGGATAGGATGTTATCAAAAGTCTCATTCCCAATTATCCCGGATCAACCGTGCGAACGTTTCCTTGCAAATTTCGTCATTGCCGCGATAGTTTGTTCACGCGTGGCGACAATCACGGATGCGGAAAACGGTCGAGGGGGCCAGTAAATCCGCTGTCGTTTTTGGCTTTCGGTGTCGCGATAAAAGCCGGGATGACGATACAGGTGGACGTGTGGGCGTGCGTGTATTTTGGGGCGAAAGAGAGAGAGAGAGAGAGAGTAAATAAGCCGTGAGTTTCCTCGCTATATATTCCACGCTAGGCAAGGCAAGGCAAAGCAAGGCGAGACGAGGCCAGGCCAGACCAGGCGAATCCTGTCCCGCCATAAACCCAGTTTGTACGCCGCATGAATACCGGCGCCTTTATTTATGGCTTTTCGGGAAGAAGTTCACCGGGACGACGAACGTTATCCACCGACGACACGACGGCAGTCAAGTCGCGCATACGCTTTTCATCGATTTTCCACGGCCGGCTGGCGCGAATGAAACGCCAGTGGATAAAAGAGGGGGAGGGTCATTGCGCGAATCCAGCTGGAAAAAGCTCGTTTTTTCTATATGACGGCGAGGTAGAAGCAATTGAACAGATCAGTGCAACAGTGTGGTCTGATTCATTTTTTTTAAGGACTCAGAAATTTATCTCGGTCTCAGAACACTATATTAAAGTTCACATACACACACATGGATTATATGTGAACCCTAGTATTTAATAATATGAGGAGTTTCTTATGATTTTTGATGTATGTATTATAAAAATTTTTTAATGCCGAGATTTGAGAAATTTTAATGAATTTATCTTAATTTTTTTGAATTTAATTTATATTATTCTTTCCTTAAAAAAGTAAACTGAGCCATTGTTGTGTATTAAAAATTCTGGAATATTTTTAATACATTTAGAGAAATATTTTTAAATCATATTTAAAAATGGAATATGTATTTTTATATTTAAAAATACGAAATAGTTTTGTTTGCATCTCATGTTTACAAGACTTATTAATTTAAAATTTAATATGAGATTATCTTCTCAACAAATACATTAAAAGCTCCTCAGTTTTTCAAAATTAAATTTCAGAAGTAGATAAAACAAAAATGATAGTTTGTTTATATAATAATAAACGTTTATTTATTTCGCCTAAAATTCTAAAAGTCGTCTTGAAATGAATTATAGAATGTGTAGCAGATGTTTATATTCGCAAATGGTTTTCGACTTTATTATTTATAGAAAAGAGACTTTTCCTTGCTCTCTTTTTTGAATGTATACATAAGGATATACATTTAAAAAACATGTATAAAAACATGCTTTTGTGGGATATAAAATAAATACTACGCAACATAAAATGGAAGTTGCATTTTTACAATGTTTGAAACTCTTTTATCGATGTTGATTGGAATTTCCATCAAAACAAGTTTCCATGAAAAGTATGGAACATAATGAAAATATAAATTGTTTTTTCATAATAAAAAAAATATATTTAAATTTTAAATTATTCAAGAGATTTATAAAAAATTTAATACAGAAAGAAAGAGAGAGAGAGAGAGGAAGAGAGAGATTAATTTGTTCAATCACTAGAACATAAATATATAAAACATTTCGATTTTGCAACAATCAATGAATTGAAAAATTATGATATAATTACAAGAGTACACTTGTTATTTTATCGAGAGAGATTGTGTTTTCGCACAATTATTTCTATTTTTGATCTATTAGCGTCAGGAAGTTCAGTGACTTCAATAGTTGAACATCGATTTATTCGTTTCTTGCTTGATATATCGTATTTGCCAACAATTCTTACAAGAAAGTGGATCCTGATAGTTTTCTGTATACAGAAGTGGATGCTGGTGATAGTTGGCAATTTGCCAAGATTTGCTAGAGAAAGAGAAGGAATCAGATCGAGACTTCAAAACTTTTATTTCAAATGAATAAAACTCTTACTCTAAATGGTAGTGAAAGAAAATAGCGCTCACAAGCGTAAAAATGACATTGTCACACTTTTTGCAGAGCGCTTTAGATAAACCATCGTAATTGTCCGATGCAGGATGCCTATAAAAATTTAACAGAATTCTATCCAAGATTTAAGATAAGATCTTGCAATTTAGAAAATTTAATGCATAATATTATGAATTTATTTATTTTAATTTAGAAAATTAAATATTTATGACATATAAAACTATATCTAATTTCTTTGCATCTATTTTTCATTTTCTTTTTTTGTTATATGTTTTATTTCTCTTCTTTCTTTATATTTTTTGTATTTTTTTTAATATAACATTATTATATAACCAAAAGGAAATTTTTTCATGGATAAATTTATCTTTATAAATCAACAAATTTATTCTTATATAAACTATAAGGCGATTACTGTATAATCACAAAACTGTATAATCACAAAATCCTCAGCTTTGGCTTGAGTAAACAGCAACTTCAATGTTTTTTTGTCAATTGTCAGGATGATATTTACTGTGGCATTTTTATCAAGTACGAAGGCAAAAATCAACTTCCCTTAATCGGCTTTTCTCAAGCTCTTTGTACACAGCTTCTATCAACTCGTGAACGAGCGTCAGAGGTCTTCAGTCTTGATGGAAATTGCCCGATAAAGATTAATCATTCGGTTTACGAGAGAATTAAAAAAGTATTGATATTTTGAAAATGAAAATATCTATTCGATTATCTCCCTTAGATACATTTAAATTCACTTCGGACGTACTAAAGTTAAAAAAAAATCGATAATTATTATAATGGGATATTCATTTATCACACGAGTAATTAATACGCGCATTAACATAAGGGATAATTAATCGCCGGCGATAATATATAATTCCACAATAGTTTTTGCCGCTTGCTGAAAGCACCAATAAACACGGTTGCCTGAAATGTACTTGTTAACCAGAAAGCGGAAATAGCCCGCGCGCTGGCACACACGGGTTCCGAAATTAATTGCATTTCTGAATTACAGTCGTAATTATTCCCAGAATAATTACTTATTCGCCGTTTTATTTGATCATTCCCTGACCGGTAATAATCCCCGCCATTGTTTAAGTTCTGCAACCTTTGACGAAGAATTTGCGGCCTGTGTATTACGTTCCGCTGGCCGAAACTAACAGGAACAATACGGAGCCGTAGTTATGCGAGGCTACATCTCTTGGTTGTCCGGTAGTTTCAAACTAGGACCATGCTCCCCCCCCCCTCTCTCTCTCTCTCTCTCTCTCTCTCTCTCTCTGTCTAAAATCATACCGAGAGTTACGGCATTGTTGAACCGAGACACAGTGACGTCATTGTTGCTTTACGGCGATCGGTCACGAACGTGCTAAACAATAACAAGGTGGACGTGTTCCGACGTCCTGATATCTTCCTTCTCCTTCTGCTTTGTCTCTGTTTTGATTTCGTAAACCCAAATCTCAGTAGTTTCCTTAGTTTGTAGTGACGGATTTATATATATATATATATATATATATATATATATATATATACCTTATCAAAATCGATGGAAAATCGCGCGACAAGTGAGCTTAGAAAGAAATACAATTAATTCCAAAATAATTGCAGCCTCTATATTTTTGCGTTTTATACTTGATATTTCGTAATCATTTTTCCGTGTAAAAAGTGTGTCATAGCAATATACATTAAGCGAAATCAAGAGATGAAAAATAAATGAGAAGTTTATTTCGTGTCCTATTTGGCTCTCCTATTTCATAATTTTTCCTTTCTTGAATAAAAAATAGTAACGTACTATTCTTCATGGTATCTTTCTTTTGTTTGTCACTTTTGTCACTAAAATAATAAAACAGACATATTTATGCAGAGTCGTAATGTTTTCGCTATAACCATTCGTCTTTCGAGGGGAGAAAAATGCTAACTGATGAACTTTTTATTTGCTGCGGAAAAGCGAAATACGCGAAAAAGCGGGTGGAACGTGATGGCGGTTTTTTTCGCGAGATGCGAAAAACGAATGGTAAACCTCCTTGAAAAACGCGAAAAAAATAATCATGAATGAATGAGAAGCGATTATTTTTACTACGCTAACTGTGACTCGCGTTATAATTATGTTTGCAGGGGCGGAGACGATATTGGCAGCCAACGAATCTACGCCGTTGCAGCTCGCTACCTGGGGACCACGTGGCAATGCCCTGATCTACGTGTATCAGAATAATATCTACTACAGACCGGAGGCAGAAAAGGCCGATGATTATCAGATAACCAACACGGGAGTGTTCGGCACCATCTACAACGGAGTACCAGATTGGGTGTACGAGGGTGAGTAGCTTCTCTGGACTGAGAAAAATTTATATAATTTATACATGTATATATATATACAGGGTGTCGCAGTTATCTTCCGTTATTTTTCAAAGACAGATTCCTGGGATCATCTGAAGATGATTTTTCCTCAACGAAAATGTCGAGGCACTAATAATTTTCGAATTATAAGTGATTGGAAATAAGGGGTTTTTCGTAAACTAAGCTTTGTAGAAATAAAATATTAACAAAACCACATTCTTTGATTAATTTTAAATAGAATTTACTTTAGTTGAATTTTAATTTAAGACTTAATTGCAAAGATATATGATGACAAAAATCAGGAATATGCAAAAAATGATGGCCTTCATTGACATTTTCGCTGAGGAAAAATCGTCTTCAAATGATCCCAGGAATCTGTCTTTGAAAGATGACGGAAGATAACTGGGACACCCTATATATATATATATATATATATATATATATATATATATTATTTATATTAATTAATAAAATATAATATTTTATATTTATTGAAATCACTTAATAAATACTCTTCACGTTACAAAAATCTCGCGCAAAGAATCTCTTCAGTAGCTCGCGGCTATCGCATAATTTCATTGTTAAAGTCTCTGAAATTTTTTTTAAATTCGAAAATAAAAGAGCGCGTTAATAATCGAATGAAAAAGACCAAATTAAACTGGGTTAATATACTCCCTTTATGCGAAAATGTCGATATATCGTGATCCGCTGTGTATGTGTGGCCGAAACTAGGGATCTCGATTTATCGTGCTCGTTTATCTATATCAATGGTTGAGCAAATCACGTAATATTTATCCCTTTGAGGAATTTGTTTTTGCAAAACGTACACCTCTCTTCCTTCCATCCTCTTTCCATCCAAAAATATTTTATTTATTTTCCGTGAAAACATACGAAAGAGGAAAGAGAGGAGCGCAGTGGTGTGCGAAAAATTTGGAAAATGATACAAAATTCGTCAAATAATTCGATTGCTTCCTGTATAATTTCGTTTAATTCAGAAAGTGCGTGAAATTAATGGAAAACGCTTTGTTGCTGATTATTCTACTCTTTTCTCGTACTGTGATAAGAAATGAACTCTAGGGTAATCAGGCTCATTAGAAATGCAAATTAATACGGCGGATTTTCTCCAGAGAGAAAAACTATCGCAGTTGATCTCTAGACACGCTCGCTGTCTTTTTTTATACTTTTGTCAATTCTTTCGTTGGATTGGAAACTAAATCAGCCAACGGATTCTCTACGGAATTGCATATATTCCAGGTGATGGTTGAATATACCTATCATAGAATATATTTAATAAAATTATTAAAACTTTATCTCTCATGAAATTTTTATTGAAATTATATTCAAAAAATAAAGAGACTCGTCAATCGGAACTTCCGCTTTGCGCGATGATGATAAATGCATCGCGAGAGACTCAGTTGTACAATAATTGGCGTAGCTGATGTGCTCCAAAAGATTATCCGCGTTTGCATATTCCCGAGCTTTCATCAGCCATGCCCTTTTTTCACCCTTAGCTTGTCCCTTTCGATGTCACACCTCGTTTTACCACGCGCCGCGATAACGATGGGAATCAACGGATGAGTCGCATAAAAATTCATCAATCAAGAAGCAAGTCCACGAACAATGTGAGAGGGAACACTTTGACGGGTTACGGTCACTTCCACTAGATTTAGTTCCTATACTCTGAGTGACGTTCATCATCATGAATATCGTATGTCACGGCGATAAAGTCGCGCATCGATTTCACGCGTAAAAGCATTTCGCGCAGAGAAACGAGCAGAAGAAAACGCGAAGAACGGCTTCTTCCCGATTTTAATCGTATCGTGATATTGTATTTATAATTCAACTGAAATACGTATATGTATATCATTTGTACAATATTTTTGCATCCACACGAAAGAATTTGCCCTAGACTAAACACTAGAAACATTAGAAACATTTGAACATTAAAATAATTATTTTATTAATAGCTAAAGAATCTCATTAATTAAATAATTTAAATCGTATAGCTAAAGAATCTCTCATTAATTAAAAAATTTATATCGTATATTGCGCAATAAAAGGAGTTTTGATATCGACAACAATCAGCGGTGATGATCGGAGATTATTGCTTGCGCGATTGTTATATCGGTGTTTTTCTTTTTTCGACGAATCTGCATAAAAATACCGGCGGCTATGGAAAAAAACGCGCTTAATATCACAAACGACAAGTGGATCAACGGGGCGCGCGTCTATATTTAAAGGGATAAACGCGGCAAATTGTCCGGATTCATACCGTCCCGTGCTATTGGCAGCTGGATCGGAGCAGCTGCCGCTGTTGAAAAGCAACGGAAAAAGCCGGGGTATAATTTAAAATGCAGAATCACGCCACGCTTTTATGTGTATATCCCAAACGATTGCCTCGGCAAGGCCAACAGTTTTGCGTGTTGACCGATGCGAAAGATCCATATCTCGTCGTATTTATTCGCGCATTTTCGCGGACGCAATCGTTGCATTTAGTTTTATCAATTATTGGGAATTGTTTAATTATCCGTGAATTTTTTACGCATCCATCGGGAATATAAAAAATTTTCTCTTTGCCTTCTGCGATTTTTTTTATATTTTTAATATGATATTTTTTAAAGAAAGAAATAAAATGTAATAAAATACAGTAAAAAAATATTCAAATTCTGTAAATGGCATAAAATGTTGCAACAGACAAAAATAATTTGAAAAATTTGATTTGAACACTTGTGGTTGTATTTGTGAGATTATTATTATAGTATAATATAATAGATTTACGCGTTTGCGATCTTCTCGTATTTATAATCTTTCGATCGATCAACGATCATATAATTAAATCGTGCCGCCAGCGCTCTATGATTGATCTCTCCACATGGATAAATGATAGAAATTGTTTACGCATTTCTGTTGTTGATTTATCGCAAAAGTTGCGAGTGAATCGCGTCGTTTGGTCGAGCACGATGCGACGCGTTTTGTTTTCGCTGCCGGAAATGGCGTTGCAAATGTACGAGATTGAGGTGGATTCTACAGGGAACTGATAACTTCGTGATATATCTATACATAGATACGATATCAAGGGAACCAAAACAACGCTGTGGTCGTTGATTTTCAGAATAGGACAGGAATTCCGTGACTGTCATAAACGTCGCGGTCAATAATAAGGGTGCGATACAAGAGCATAGCGCGTTTCAAATTATGTGTATTTTAAATTACGTACATTTTAAAAACAGCACGCGAGTAAGGATATTTGCGTGTCGAGCGAGAATATAATGAGTAGCGTGTAAATTTTAATGAAAGCAACAATGTCATTTGAGATTTTCAGGATGTCGCTTAGCATAACGCAAAAATTTTAATATTATATTAATAATTGTGATATAATTTATTAATAGTAATTTTAATACATACTAAACTGACATTTTATTTAAAATAATTCAAGTAAAATGATGTGTAATAATTCAGTCAAAAGCTTATCAAAACCAAATAGAAACTGAATAATTAAAGATTAATTAATTAATTGTAAATAAAATATTTACATTAGCTGATTAAATCTAATGTTAATAATTGTTAATATGTTATCGCTTAATTAGTTGAAATGCAATATATTTTAGCGCGTTATATTCCCAATGTGATTCCTGTTTGTAAAGGAAAAATTCAAGAGAAAATATATCTAGAATGGGAATCATTGAAAAAGTCAGTTATGGTCGCGTTAATTTTTTTCGTACAGTAACACGAGCAATTTAACATTTTTTCTCTTCTTTTCTTTAATGTAAAATTAACAGATTTATGTTCTGTGCATTTACAAAGAAATATCCGAATTGCATCAGCGAAAACCTCAACTGAAAATTTCACTATTCACAAGTTCAATTGTGCAGTTTGGTGCTCGTTTCATCGAGTCGTGAAAAAGCGCAATGAATAGTTGGCTGATGTCCAAGTTCTTTTCTTTTTTATTCTTTTTTTATTTTATTTTATAGCAAGCCAGAAAATACACAGGATGGAGCTTCCAATTTTAAAAGTTTTTAGTATTTATGCCTCTCTCTTTTAAAAGTTGTAATTTATATTTTTATTGCTCATTAACGTATTTCATTTATTCACATTTTTAATTATTCACATTAAATATGTCAAACATATAACATATATAATATAATGTTTTATGAATACTGTATGAAATAATAATATTAGTAACACTATAAGATATACATCATTCTTCATTAAGTAAAAGAAACTAATGAGAACGTGTTATATTATATTTTATACATTGATGAACTGTGTCTAGAATGCATTTAAAAAATCTGACAATGAGACACACTTTACACAAATTTTCTTCACTTTACAAAAGATACGTATCATCTTTCATGCATAATCATATTTAATATGGCTAATTCACGAGTGTCAGTGGCACGTTGGTGTTTAAATATCTCGCAGATATCTCCGAGTATTTGTGGACATCGTAATGGAAATGCTATCGGACGTCCATGTTTGTGAATGCCGTTTGAATGCACGTCGTGGTCGTAGCGCGAGCTAATGACAAACTGCCGACTACGTTATCGGTCGTTAAATCCATTACGAATAGCGATGATTAATTAATACGACGATGACAATTAATTGGCGAGTCATCCATACGTAGCGTATATATTGTTAAAAGTAACAGAAACAGGATTTTGACTTGAATGAGAGGAGCATGAATATGAATTGCGTCGGAAAAATATACGTGAATATTTTCTACGAATTAAATAATATAAAAAATATATATAAGAAAATAATCTAAAAAATTATAAAATTAAATTAATAAAAATGTTTATGAAATTTACGCATCCGCGTTTTGGGCTCTTATTGCTCGTTTCTTAAATTATCATGTTGTTAAATTAATAAAAATTATTAAATAAATAAAATTAAGTTAAATAGAGAAGGTCCAGACTTTTTACGAAAAAGATCGATCTAGAAAGCGCTTTAAAAAGAGCTCACTTTACAATAAAAGATCC